CAACCATCCTGTTCTGTCTGCAGTTAGAGATGGAGAGCTGCCACCTTTTTTTTTTTTGCACTGGATGCTTGGGAGCGGTTTCTAATCCATGTTTGTATACAGTATGAGGCACTTTCACAAATGCTCGGCACTGCTAATTGCGCTGATCCTAATAATAGCTCCAATAAATCCTAGGCACTCTATCTTCTTACATAAGAAGCTGAATCTGAGATCCAGTGTTTTCCTTAAAGCTGACCAGCAAGCCTATGGTTTATCTCTGGGGATCTCAGACCTGTGACTTTGCATATGTTGTTGGACTCCAACTCCTATCAGCTCTAGCCAGTGGGGCCAGTGGCCGTGGATGATGGAAACTCGATTCCAGCAACCCATTTCTCAACCATTGCTTGTACATTATAATAAATGCATTATTGTCAATTTAAGCAGGATTCCAGCTAAGGTCGCTTAAGGTGTTGCTTGCTTTCTCTCCTGCACAGTATTGTTTAGTTTTCTGCGTTGCTTCAGATCTTGCTCTTCTTCCAGAGAAGATGTATCCCAAGCTGGTAGGTGCTATAGCTTTAAGGCATCGGAACCCGGGTCTCTCTGGTCCAAGTCAAGCAATCCAGCCTTTAATGCAACCTGTGGATGCAAACAAATAGATATCGCTAATGTTTGCTATACAGCCCTTCTGCAATTGGATTTTGAGAGGGTTGCCTTCAGGAAGGAATGGAGAGTGGTGGGAAAAGATATCGATTCAACAGTTGTGAAGCAATTTGGGGGGGGGTGTAACCCAAACTCTTGGAACTTCTTCCTGTTTCATAGCTCTGAAAGGCACATTGGTCCCTTTTCGGTTACAGAATAAAAGCTTTGTGATTGGCTGGAGCAATGACAAAAGTATAAATGGAGGGTGGTTCAGCCAGTCTCAGCCTGGCTTTTGCGAGCTGATATCCAGGCAAATATTGTGGTATGTGAGACCTTGGGAGGCTGGGCTGGAGAGAGGCTGGAGGTTTAAGTTGAGGAATTTTTAGAGCTCACAAATATTTAGCAGTTCTGAACAACTGTCATTCCTGAAATGTTTGCTGCTCTGTATAAGAAGCTGGGGGACATGCTCTGAGTGAGTGCTAGAGACAAAAGCATAAGCAGCAAAAAAATTGCTGTGCCCCTGAGCTTTGCGTACTGGTTGTTGTTGTTTAGTCATTTAGTCGTGTCCGACTCTTCGTGACCCCATGGACCAGAGGACGCCAGGCACTCCTGTCTTCCATTGCCTCCCGCTATTTGGTCAAACTCATGCTGGTAGCTTCGAGAACACTATCCAACCATCTCGTCCTCTGTCGTCCCCTTCTCCTGGTGCCCTCCATCTTTCCCAACATCAGGGTCTTTTCCAGGGAGTCTTCTCTTCTCATGAGGTGGCCAAAGTATTGGAGCCTCAGCTTCACTATCTGTCCTTCCAGTGACCACTCCGGGCTAATTTCCTTAGAATGGATAGGTTGGATCTTCTTGCAGTCCATGGGACTCTCAAGAGTCTCCTCCAACACCATAATTCAAAAGCATCAATTCTTCGGCGATCAGCCTTCTTTATAGTCCAGCTTTCACTTCCATACATCACTACTGGGAAAACCATAGCTTTTACTATACGGACCTTTTGCGTACTGGTAATGGGAGGCAAACTTAATGCTTATTTTCAGCAAAGGGGATTTGGCAAACCTGTTCTGTCCCTCTGCCCTGATGCATATTTTGCTTGCAATGCCCAGGTAGCACAAACACTTGTTTTGGGTCATTGGTGCACTAATCCATGCACTCAATAATGAAATCTGTTTCTGCACCCCGTATTTCTTTTAGAAAGAACCCAGATACTGTTCCAACTCAATTTTCATTCTGCTCTCTTATCTGTGTGTTTTTCTTTTTAACCTGCTGCTTATTGCTGTACTAATTGTCATTTTAAAGATGGGCTTGTCGTTTTTATTCTTGTGGCCAGTATTTTAAACGAACCACTTTTCTCATAACAAGGTGGGATAAAAAAACCATGATAATCCTTCAAAGAGGGTTTTTTTTAATTAAAAAATTGCATAACTATAGAAGCTCACCACAATCAACTTGTTATCTGTATTTGTTCTTAAGCACTTTTTAACCACACCTTTCCACCCACAAAGAGGCCCTTAAGGTGGCTTACATTTAAATTGCAGGCTTTAATGCAATGCAAATTAAAAACCAACAATGTTGTACAATAAATAACAATCTAGTCATTGAAACAGAGGCAGGGAGAAAAGTGAGCCAGTTTTAGCAGTGCTCCGGGAAGGGCTACTGGACCAAACTGTCTTCCAAAGGCAGGTTGAGAGACTGTCAAGATTCTAGCGAGCAAGATGCCACTACTAAGAAAGCCCTGCTCCTTGTGGATGTCACCTTGCAGTGCAAGGAAGAACGACAGGTGTATGCCTGGGAGAAGGCCCTGCAAACGTGTAGTTTTGCGCTCAATGTGAAAGTCTGTGTCAGAAATGGGAATTCTACAAGTCATGTGCATTTCTGTCTTGTCTTCATACCCATCCCTGCCATCTCTGTGTTATGTGCAAAGGACTGAGGGTTGTATCCAACCAGGTTATACCTGGAGTAGCACCACTGCTTAAGATAACGGAACCAAGTTAGTCATGTGCATTATTTTCAATGGACCTACTATGCATAGGGCTAATGCTGGATGCAATCCTGAGCTGTCTTGGTAGTGAGATCAACAAGTTGCTTTTTCCATGATACCAGCGGAAGCACGGCTTGTTGTTATGTGCAAATTCTTCTGAGCTAATCTGGTATATAATTTAGCTGTTCTTAGGGATAATATAGACAGTAGTCATTTTTTTCACTTCTAAAACAGCATCATGCTGCAGTGATACTGTTTGGTATTTGCGTGGTGTTAATCCTCACTCCCCACCATATTTGGTTGTGTTTCCAGATGATTATCTCCACTTTTCAAACATCCTTCTGAGAATGGAATAGAAAGCTGGCAATCAACTTTCTGCCTAGAAAGGCAAGCAAGCCGTTCTACAGCAAGCACAAGACTTCTGTGTATCAGAGCGCACAATGTTCAATAAGACCCTGAACTTTCAAGTTCACAAAAGTTAATATTAACTGCATCCTGCACAACTGGCTGTTAAAATGAAAAAACAAATTGTGTGCTTGCTTCATTCAGTTCTTTGTGCTGGACACGTTCTTAGAAAAGAGTTTAGCATAGTGTTTAATTTTTTTAAAATCAAAACCCATTTATTTATTTTCAATTATTAAAGTTGAATGACGTTTCTTACAAATCAGGGCAGAGAGAACGTGTGCAAATGCCATCTTTTCTGCCATGAGCATGTAGAGTGCTAACTGGGGATTAGATAGCTCATGGTGGATAAAGCCATTGGTGGCTACTAGTCATTATGGCTATATGTTGCATTCGGGGTCAGAGATGTGTTGCATCTGAACCCTGGTTGCTTGGGGGCATAAGTGGGGAGAGAGTAAAGGTAAAGGTAAAGGGACCCCTGACCATTAGGTCCAGTCGTGACCGACTCTGGGGTTGCAACGCTCATCTCGCTTTATTGGCCGAGAGAGCTGGCGTTTGTCCGCAGACAGCTTCTGGGTCATGTGGCCAGCATGACTAAGCCGCTTCTGGCAAACCAAAGCAGCACACGGAAACGCCGTTTACCTTCCCACCTATTTATCTACTTGCAATTTGTGCTTTCGAACTGCTAGGTTGGCAGGAGCTGGGACCGAGCAACGGGAGCTCACCCCGTCACGGGGATTCGAACCGTCGACCTTCTGATCGGCAAGTCCTAGGCTCTGTGGTTTAACCCACAGCGCCACCCGCGTCCCGGGGAGAGAGTGCTCTTGTGCTAATGTCCTGATCGTGGGCTTCCTATCTGCAGCTGGGTGGCCACTGTAAGAACCAGCTGCTCGACTAGATGGAGCCTTGATCTGATCCAGCAGGGATCTTCTTATGGTGGAGATAATGAATGCAAATCATGACACTAAATGATTCGTCACAAACAATACAAAGCTGTAGTAGAGCAAAACCAAAGCTGCCTAATGGTGGAGGCTGGATGTGTGTGCATTCTCATGGTATATAAAACATCACAAGATGCATCACTGTGAAAGAGCCTGACTTGCATGTTGGGCAGAGCTGCAGTTTATGCTTAATTGCAGCTCTTGTGGTATGTTAACTGATAAATGGTGCTGGTGGCCCTTGTGCAACCTTTGCAGCCACCCTCAACAAGTGAGAAGAGCCAGGCTGGTTCATCCTGAGCATAGGTCTCATTTGGGAACATAGAGATGTAGCTCTGGTCAGGAAAGCAGATTAAGATAAAGAAGCATTCTTTTCTCTTCTCGAATGAAGATTGATGAGATAATTTGCTGCTGTTAGATCTAATTGGAACCAAGTCTATAAAACCAGGCGTCTGTAAGAGTTGAGTTATTGCTGTGTTTCAATGCTTGAACCAGAAATGTGCTTTAATACCTATTGGTTGACATTGTTATTGGGTGAGCTCATCTATTCCTGGCTGAAATCACTGCTGGGAGGTTTGTAAGCCATCCTAGCAGCTGGGCTATTGCTAGCACCTGCTGTTGACTGTGGCTGTGGAGACCAGAAGCCAAATTTCTGAAGCCACTTGCTAGTCGGAGTGCAAAGTCGCTTCTGCCTCTGGAGGGATGAAGTCCTTGCAACGTGCCCAAACTCCCTGCCACCGTATTTATATTGCAACACTCTCAGCTTATTGCATCTTCTTGGACTATGCAGTGGGTCCTACCTCACAGAGTGCAGAAGGCGGACTTGGTGGATAAATTCAGTGTTGCCAATCTCATATTGCTGCTGCTGTTTGTTGACTTGAATAAATACAATTGTTCAGATACCTATGGAAAAACTATAAGAAGGGCCTGAGTGCAGCAGCAGCTCTCCCGAAGATATTTTTTATTTATTTATATTTTCATAGAATAGTAGAATTGGAAGATAGCCCAAGGGTCAGCTAGTCCAACCCCATTCAATGCTGGAATCTCGATTAAAACTTCCATGACAGATGGCCATCCAACTTTTGCTTAAAAACCTCCAAGGAAGGAGAGACCACAATCTCCAGAGGGAGTCCGTTCGACTGTCAAACAGCTCTTACTGTCAGAAAGATAAAAAAAAGTATCAAGGCGGTGTACAAAATTCTGATTAAAACCCAAACAACCACAATGAATTAAAAGGAAAGCACATTAAAGAAACATAAGTATGGAATGGACAATCTGAAAAGAAGGTTAAAATAAAAAATTCCCCAAAGGGCTGTGGAGATAAATCAGTGGCCCTGCCATTGGATGTATGGACATTTGTGCAGAGCACTTATGCATGAACAGGTGAACCTGTGTTGACAATCCGTGTGACAGCTGTGTTTCCCATGACCTCCTCTTGCTTCCCCAATAAGTTGTTGGCTTCTTAGGCAGTAGTTTGCCTCCTTGTGCATAAGCTGGTTCTCTGGGCTATTCTGTCCCTCTCCCCCGCAATTGCTTTTATACTGCTGCCAATTCCTTGACTCTCTAGTCTTGGAATGCAGCTTTTAAGATGGATTTTTGGGGGGCCTCTTCCTTTCTCTTCCTGCATTCCGCTACCTCCAAATTGCCTATATTAAACTTTAAACAACATGTGAAAGCCTTGTAGTTGAGAACTATAAACAAACCTGATAGGTAGCCGCAATTTGAGCCGTTGAACTTGCTTAAAGTCTCTCTCTTTTGCCTCGCCGTTTCATTCTAAAATGACAAATTGCTCAGAGCGGTTTCCATGTTGGGTTTTTTTTTTCCTTTTAAAGCTTAGCTCCTCTTTCTCTGCCCACCCCCACCCCCTTTGGGGGGGCATGTGGAAGGCATTTGTGCACTTGACTTACCATGGCTCAGGCCTAAGGTTTGTGGTTTCTACATGACTGTGTTGAACATTCACACATAGCTGTTCATGTTCACTTCAATTAATGTTCCGCTGGGCCAGTGTGAGAGAAGCCAACTCCTTTTCTCTTTTGGTTGAGTGCAGCTCGCGTTGCAGGGATTCAAGGTTTTACAGGTTCATTTTTTAAAAATGCAGCACGAAAGCTTTTTAAATGCTTTTAAAAAGGAGGTGTGGGGAAGAGAGCAGTCCAGTGGATATACAGTGGTACCTCGGGTTACAGATGCTTCAGGTTACAGACTCCACTAACCTAGAAATAGTACCTCGGGTTAAGAACTTTGCTTCAGGATGAGAACAGTGGCGGTGCAGTGGCAGCAGCCGGAGGCCCCATTAGCTAAAGTGGTGCTTCAGGTTAAGAACAGTTTCAGGTTAAGAACGGACCTCCAGAACGAATTAAGTTCTTAACCCGAGGTACCACTGTACTATTCAGCAGCCTTTGCCAACCTGGTGCCCTCCAGATGTTTAGGCCTGCAGCTGCAGTATGGCTGGCTGGGACTGATGGCAATCGTAGCCCAAAACATCTAGAGAACACCAGGTTGGCCAAAACTGTCGCACGCTGTGCCTGTTAATAGAGGAAACAATGGTGTCTTTAAGGATTCATTGTCTTCCCACTGAAAGCAGTGAGGTAAACCTGCATGCAGAAAAAGGCTGAAGGAATAAAGGCGCGCTTTGCATATCAGACAATCGCAAATGTCTTCCATTGGGTTTATAGTGGTTTCCAGACCACGTCGCTCACTTGCGGCTTTCCCAGCCCTACCTGGAGACACGGTTGATCAAACCAGGGACTTTCTGCATACAAAGCAGGTGCTTTCCCACTGAGCTATGATGTGTGGGTGACCAGGGTTCAAATCCCTGCATAGCCATGAAGCTCTCTGAGCGACCTGGGACCTAGTCACTGTCTCTCAGGCAAACTTACCTCACATGGCAGTTGCAGGGATTAAATGAGGAGCAGGGAGAACCATGTATGCTGTCACTTTGAGCTCCTCAGAGAAAAAGCTGGGACAGAAATGCAATCAATCAATCAATCAATCAAACAAACAAACAAACTACAGAAAAGCTGGGGGGGGGCAGTAGTTGTTGGCATCTGGCCCTTGCCCTCTATATAGAGGGCCAGTTCCCCAAAAATGGTGTTTTAAAAGGGTGGCTGCAGTCAGTCTGGACCCCAATGTTTGCTTCATAATAGTAAGTGCTATAACACCAGCTTTTGACCCCTTTTTTCTTTTTGTAGTACTGGAATTACTTCAAACAGTGAGTTGCACAGACACTTGCCCCCCCACATATATGTACTAGGCCTGTGGAGGAAGGGGGAAGATTCGCAGTTAAGCCTCATGGATTTTTGCAGGTCTTCCCTAAGCACAGCTAAGTCTGGATCAGACCCGTTGTGCTGGAGGATTTGGGGTTGGTGTTCTGAACGCTGACCTTTATTATTATTATTATTATTATTATTATTATTATTATTATTAATTATTGTGGGGTCATACTTGGGAGTTTGCTCTGCTGAATGCCAGCGGAAAACAGTGCTTTTGCAATAATAACCTTTTTAAAAATAAAAAATCCCTACTACTCAGGCAGTAGACAAGCCCGTGAGGCTCAGTGCCCCACGTGGCCTAAGCTGGCAGGAACTGGGTCTTGCCCTGTTGCTCCGCTTGAGGAAATGTCTCCGCATAAACAGGCACACGGTGGTAGGCAGAGCCAAGGGGATCTGAGGACATTCCAGATGCCTTTGCTATAACTTGGAGGCATGTTGTAGCTTGGCATGTCTATTTTTACCCATTTCTCTTTTCCCTCCACCACCCACTTTCTTGTCAGCTTCGTCTCTCCGTGGGCAGTCGGTATGTAGGCTTTGCTTACATTTATGCAGGCAGTCAACATACGTGTGCTTTTAGTGTGTGGTTTTAACTGTTGTTTACCTCCAGAACGCACCAGACGTGTTGCTCTTCAGTGTAATAATAATTCTCTTCGGGAGACTTGCTGGTGCTCTCAGGTCCTCCTTGTGGTGTTTCCATAGGTATCTGGTTAGCCTTTGGCCAGCTCTGATAAGGCACTTCTTATGCTATTGGGTGCTTGAATTCTTCCCTAATGAGAGCCAGTGTGGTGTACTGGTTAAGAGCGGTAGACTCGTAATCTGGTGAACCAGGTTCACGTCCCCGCTCCTCCACATGCAGCTGCTGGGTGACCTTGGGCCAGTCACACTTCTCTGAAGTCTCTCAGCCCCACTCACCTCACAGAGTGTTTGTTGTGGGGGAGGAAGGGAAAGGAGAATGTTAGCCGCTTTGAGACTCCTTCGGGTAGTGATAAAGCGGGATATCAAATCCAAACTCTTCTTCTTCTTTTTCCTAATGCCCACATTTCCCAGTTCTTCTTCACAGAGAGAAGGAACTCGCCTACATTGCTCCCTAATGTGCTCGAAGTTGCAGTGGGGAGCCTCAGGCTTGAGACCCCAGTTGTGACTCTCCAGCCCTCTTGATATGGTCCTCAGGGCTCTTCCCCAGGGAACAGCCAGACTGCTCCATGGCTTTCTCATGTGCGTGTGATGTGATCATACTTTGTGCTGCCCTAGGTGAGGTGTGTAGGAACCTCTGACTTCTGTGTGACTTGGATGTGGCCTCTTTTTGCTCAGCCCCCTTTTGCTCCTCATCCTGCCCTCCACTAGCACATGTCCCCTGAGGCAATGAGGCCTTCAAGCAAACAAAAAAGGTGTCCGCACACCTGCTGTAGATTTATGGGGCGACATCCAAACATGGCTGCCAAAGGGGGTTACACTCCTTATACCTCTGCACCATGTGATTCATCCACATGCACAAATTAGCTTGTCTGCCGACAGAACTTTTTTTTGGGGGGGGGTGGCCGGCACCCCAGAATAAGTACAATACCTCTGCTCAAAGTTGACTCGGCCTCAGTGGCTTTTTCCTAAAGTGGTTAATGCAAAGCAGTAGTGGCCAAGTTAAGTCATCATGGTCCCCCCAGCGCGTGAGACTGCTAGGAGTTGTGAGGCCTTGGGGTAAATATTTCATTACTGCCTCAAATGTTAAGAACATTATTCTTTCCTCAAGAAGTGCCTGGTTCCTGCCCTCCCCCCGGTCCGCAATGTATTCTTGTCCATAATTCAGAATGCCTCTTTGTCTATCAGCCAGTCTAATCCTTTTGCAAATTCTCTTAAGCCAAGTAGAATTGGACGTTGTATATAATATTTCTTTATTTAATAGATATAAAGCCCCGTCTTTGGGCTGGTTGTTTATCTCTGGCTATTAAAATTGAATACTCCGAAGCTGGCAATTATGAAACCTCTTTCCTCTTTACGTAACAGCTTGGAAATTGCTTTCTTCTCCTCCAATATTTCTGTGTCACTCTCTTTTCTGGCTCTTAATTCTCCGTAATGTATGACCTAAGCTGATCTTTATTCTTCGTCGTAGGACAGACAGATTTGGAGATGCGTGTGTTTTTATAGTAGTGTTTTCTTTTCTTTTCTACTTCTCCTTTTTATAACGTTTTAATCACATTCCCAGGCCAAATAACTATTATGCTCTGTTCCTGAGGGGAAATGTCATTAATGCTTGCTTTAAAAAGAAAAGAAAAAGAAAACTAATAAAATTGCTTTTGCTCTGATTCTGAAGGCGCACAGTGCTATGCATATGGTTTGAATTTTTCCTTCACTCGGCTGAAGGCACTGAATTGTGCAAATAGGGATTTTGATGGCAGCAAGCTGTATTCAATACCAAATCCAGTGCAGGTATGGGGGACCCTGCAGCCCTCCAGATAGGAAGCTGCCTTATGGTGAGTCAGACCATTAGTCCATCTAGCTCCATATTGACTACACTGACTGGCAGCAGCTCCCTGGATTTCAGGTAGGGTGTCTTCCAGCCACACCTGGAGATGCCATGGATCCTAACCTGGGACCAATGACATGCAAGGCAGATGCTCTGCAACTGAGCCATGGCTCTTCCTCCAGATGTTAATTGGACTGCAGATCCCATCATCCATTTCAGAGAATGAATTGATTTTCAGTTATAATATTTGGACTTTTTCTGTAGAGTTTGGACATTTGGAAAGGTGGTTTTGCCTGCAGTAATACCTACAAACAGCCCAGTCCTTTTAACATTATGTTTACCCATTTATATATCTCCTTTCCTGAAAGCAATAGTGTACATAACATAGGTACCTCTGCATTTTATCCTCACAACAATGCTGGTTGAGCATCATTTCTGAGTGGGGACTTGAACCTTGGTCTCCCAGGTCTTAGTCTAGCTCTCTAGCCACTGCACCATGCTGGCTCCATATTGCAAAAAGAGGGTGTGGGTGGGTGGGACTGATTCAGAGAGAAAAGGAACTTGCTGTAGCCACTTACCGAGTTCGAGACTATCATGCAACAGCAAGCTATCACTATGCACTGGAACACATTTTTTAAAGAGAACCCTGACTAGCTTTTCAGATACCTTTTAATTGAATAACTTTCTAAAGAAATGCCTGAAGTAACTGATATTATAGTTTGAAGTCTTGTTTATTCTGTTATATTTTACTCTAAGAAGACCGATTTATCCTAAATAGAACCCAATAAGGCAGACATGTATGTACTATATAAATGTGTGTGTGTGTGTGTGTGTGTACACACACACACACACACACACACACAGATATATATAGATATAGATATAGATAGATATAGATATATGTGTGTGTGTGTGTGTGATCCCATTGAGATCCCAAGATGAAATTTTGCAGGTAGCACTTAGAAATATTAAATAATCAATACATTTTTTGGAATTTTTAATCATGTTGATTTTTTTAAATCACTTTTTTATTTTTAAATTTTAAATTTTGTAACTTTAAAATTTAAAGTAAGTCCATCATGTAACACATCATATTAAAGCCCATGAGGTTTTGCAGAGATCAGTGTTTTTAGTTTTGAAATACCTCAATTCTGGGCTGAGCTTTTAAGGTTTTTGTGTAGTCTGGCAAGGCCAAAATTGTCTTCTTTTTTAATTTCAAACCCTCATAACTAAAAAATGGGACACACACACACACACACACAAAAAAAAACTTAGTTTTGATCATTCAGCAAGTATACAAAATATTAAGAAAATTGGATGACATGAGGTAAAAAATTGGATCATTTGATATGGAATGACGCTGAGGCACATTTGGGTGAGAGATGGTGCCTGGCTCAAGGTCAACCATTGAGCTTCATGGCTGAGTGGGAGGTTACGGGAACAGGGACATGAGTCTCACCCGACTGGCTCTTTCTGCTACACCAGCTCTTCCAGGTTGCCATGAGGCTGACTTGGAGGCCCAGGACATTTAGAACAAAACTTAGTTCCGTTTGATTCCTACCACATGATGTCAATGAATAATCTGACGCCACATTCACACCGTACATTTAAAGCACTATGATCCCACGGCTTCCCCCAAAGAATTCTGGGAGCTATGGTTTGTTAATGGGTGCTGAGATTTGTTAGGAAACCCCAGTTCCTACAATTCCCAGAGTAGCTTAACAATCCATCTTCTTGGGGAACTCTGGGAATTGATCTCTGATGGGGATAATGGAGGTCTAACAACTTGGGCACATGGATGAGGATCAGGGGAGCAAGCTCTTATCAGGATTGTTAAGATGTGCCCAAACTGGTTTTCATGGGAGGACATTGGGTTCCCATGCTGCCATCCCATCAGTTTGTGATAATTAGTTACACCATCTGGGCTATTCGTGTGCCCCGTACGGCCAATTTTAATTCTGCTCTTTGCTGTTAACGATAATGATAAGCTACATAAATATTTGAGAGTGTTTTAGTTTTGGTGACTAAGAGGGAATTTCCAGTTGATTTAGGAAGACTGTGTTCGAAGGTTAAAATTGACATGTACCTGACTCCTTCAGAATAACAAACAGCCTTTATTTGGGGCCACTGCAGGCTGTCCTTCTGGACTGAAAAGTGCATATAAAATTTATGATGGATGTGGATTTTTACCTTTTTGTTACACGTTTCTTTGCTCATGAACAAGATGTCTGTAAGTACAAGTGTGTTAGTGAACTGTAAAAGTTCCATTACTCGCATCTGATAATGGAAATGCACCAGCAGCAACCCCGTGAAAACAGTACATCTTTTAAAGTTTACTACCGCAGTTTTACGAGCTTCCGAGCTTTTTGCACAGAACGAAATGAGTTACTGCTTTTTAAAAGCCTCTTGCCTGCCTTGACTAGGGTTTACATTTAATATTTTTTGTGTTATTTTTTCTTTTTTACACTAGTGAAGAGGCATCTCATATCTTCAGGGTGTAGCTCAAAACTTGAGAGGTGCGTATGGAAATATCAACATGTATACATTGACCTCATTCAGGGGATCCACTATTCAATATATTATATTACTTGGGAGTAAGCAGCACTGAACTGAAGGGGACTTGTTTCAGAGGAAACGCAGGATCGGGCTGGGATCCCAGAACACGCATTAGCTGTGCTAGGAATCAGTCACCCTGGTATATGTTGTGAACCGCCTTGAGATCGGCAGATGAAGGGTGGTATACTACTACAACTACTACTACTACTACTACTACTACTACTAAAGGTAAAGGTAAAGGGACCCCTGACCATTAGGTCCAGTCGTGGCCGACTCTGGGGTTGCGGCGCTCTTCTCGCTTTATTGGCTGAGGGACCCAGTGTACAGCTTCCTGGTCATGTGGCCAGCATGACTAATCTGCTTTTGGTGAACCAGAGTAGCGCACGGAAAGGTTGTTTACCTTCCCGCCGGAGCGGTACCTATTTATCTACTAACACTTTGACGTGCTTTCGAACTGCTAGGTGGGCAGGAGCAGGGACCGAGCAACGGGAGCTCACCCCGTCGAGGGGATTCGAACTGCCGACCTTCTGATCAGCAAGTCCTAGGGTCTGTGGTTTAACCCACAGCGCCACCCGTATCCCTACTACTATTACTACTACTAATGGCTTAATAAGCAGAAATATGATTGAGCCTTGTGCCTCCCAAACCACCCTTGGTTCTCCTCTTGGCAAACTCTAGTTGTCCCCAGA